CAACTACGTTTATTCTTAAAACTAATTGGTTACTATCAACAGTTTATTTATAACTTCTCTAAAGTAGTACAGTCTTTAAATTAGCTATTATGTAAAGAAACTCCTTATATATAGGATAAACCACAACAGAAAGCTTTTGAAGAATTAAAACAGAGACTTACCACAGCTCCTATATTAAAGTATTTTGACTTTGATAGACTATTTATTTTAGCTACTGATGCTTCTTATTATGAATTCAGAGCTATTCTTAGTCAATTAAATAAAAACAGAAAAAAACATTCTATAGCCTATGCCAGTAAAATCTTAACCAAAAAAGAAGTCAATTATGATGCCACTGAACTCAAATATGCTACAGTTGTATAGGCTATTGAACATTTTCATAAATATCTTAGAACTGCCAAATTTATCTTAGTCATTGACCATTCTGCTCTCAAGTAATTACAATTTACTGAACTTAAAGGAAGCCTAGAAAGATAGATTCTAAAACTTCAACTCTATAACTTCAAAATTATTCATAAACCAGGAAGAGTTCACTCTAATGTAGATGCCCTATCTTGACTATAAACACAAACCTTATACCAAAATCCTTTCTTATGAATTTGAACCTCTATTATAATTTATATAATTATATAAAATCAGACAAGTTACCTAACTCTCTATCTCAGGAACAGACTAAACAAATACAATATCATGCTAGACATTTTATTACTAAGAAAGAACTATTATATAAGAAAAATAAAAAGAACCCTCAGTACCCTCTTTGTGTTATCAAATGGAATAAAGTAGAATCTGTTTTGTATATGATGCATAAGCATTCTACTGCAAAATACTTAGAGACAGATGTTATGTATTATAAAATAGCTAAATAATATTATTGAGACCAAATATATTAAGATGTACAAAAATATATTAGAATATGTAAAGAGTGCCAAAAGAGACTAAAAGGCAAATAAACTGAATTTTTTTATCTTATTCAATTAGGATGAGCCTTTGAATGAATTAGTATTGGTTTAGTAGAACCTCTACCAATTACCAAACAAAATAATTGATATATTATTGTTGCTACTAACTATTTAACAAGATGGCCAGAAGCCTATGCTATACCTGATGCTGAAGCAAATACCTTAGCTTAGTTTATATTTGAAGAATTTATTTGTCAATATGAAATACCAAAGATTATTCTCTCTGATCAAGAAAGAAATTTTATTAGTAAAACTGTTCATATTCTATATGAAAAATTTCTTATCAAACATAAGTTTTTTTCATCATACTATTTACAGACAAATGGAATGATTGAATGTTTTAATTGAACCTTATATGAATTACTTGCTAAAGTAAAAGGAAATGATAACTGAAACTTATATATACCTGCTGTACTACTTGCTTATCAAACAAAGAAGCATGCTACAACTGGATATACATCTTTTCAGCTTGTATATAGACAATAAGCTGTTCTTCTAATTAAAGTTTTATTACTAGTTAAACTTTATAAAGAAACAGAGTATGACTTACAAAATAGCATATTGTACTGAGCATTTGAGCTTATCAACAAGCTATCTGAATTGCAAAATAATACAAAAGAAAAGACCAATAAATCATAACAAAAACAGAAAAAATACTTTGATACTAAAATTTAGCATGAAATATTTAAAATTGGTAACAAAGTATAGATAATTAGAAAGAATATAGAACATTTTTGATTAGCTAAATTCGAAAATAAAAGAACTGGACCCTTTATTATTCAAGAAAAATTGAACAATGATGTTTATAAACTTTGTAATGACAAAAAAAAAACATTACAAAAGTACTATAACAGTAATTGTTTTGCTAAATATTATGAAAAACATAGGAACCTTTCATTCTTATCAAATAATTGGAATTTCTAAAAGAAGTTTCTAAAACCAAAGGAAAAAACAATAATATTATACAAATTTTTTAATATTACAATTTATCTGAAGATAGTGATACTTGAAAATTTATATAAACATTCTTGAATTGTACAAATTTTCCTAAAAATAGAATTCTTAAAACTATAACCAGAAACAATAATTGCTTTAAACAACTTTTTTCAAATTTTGAAACAGAACTCTGTATCTCAAAATTACTTAGATATATCATCTCAAAATATTATTCTTTGGAGTAATAAAGAACTAGAAAAAGTTATCAACTTAAACTCTATAATAGAAGTCTCTGTAGAATTCAATATCAATGAATTTCTACAATTAGAAAAAATACAACCTTTTCTAATCAAAACTTTACCTAATAAAGTACTTACAAAATTAAAAAGTAATAATACTAACTATCTAACCCAAATAATAAATGATTTGAAACAAATATCAGTATCAACAACTTGAAATATAACCAATTCTTTTTCTGGAAGAATATGAAAAGAACAAGTTAATTGAATTTTAAAGTTTTTATCCACTCTTGAACATACTCGACATAATCTTAACAAGAAAATTAAAACTTATTATTACTTAGAACAAATAATCTCAAAGTCCAATAATTCCTTAGAGATTAAAAACCTTATCTAGAATGCTCAAATAATCAAAAGAGCAAAGGATACTTGGAAAGATGCTCTTAGAATATACAAAGTCCTCAAGTTATGATTAAAAGAAATATCCTTACAATTAAAATATATAACCGCAACATATATTATCAAATTGCTAAATGATGAGTATACCTAACTTTGTAAATCAATTAGAACATAGAATTTACAGAATAAATTTTTAAAAAAGATAGAAATATTATAAAATGAATTACTATTATTATTATTAGTTATTATTATTATTGTTATTATTATTTAGTATTAGTTATTTCATTATTGTATTATTATTATTACTAGTAGTTACTAGAACTTTCCAGTTGATTAATAATCACTTAGTTACTTAGTTGCTTAGTTACTTAGTCACTTAGTTGTTTAGTCATTTAATTATTTAATAATTAGTTGCTTAGTAATCATTAGTTATTAGTTGCTAAAACCTTCTGATCACTTAGTAATCAATTAGTTGCTTAATCGCTTAGTCACTTAGTCACTTAATACTTAGTTACTTAGTTGCTTAATTACTTAGTCATTTGGCTGCTTAGTCACTTAGTTTACAGATATATAAATTCTACTAAATTCCCCAAGTGTAATTAAACAACAGATACATCTCTTTTCTTTAATATTGTAAACACATCTTGGGATTTTTTAGGAACAAAAACCTAAGGATAACCCTTTTTGTTATTACTTTAATAAATAACTTTTGAACTCCTAAAGTAATTTCTACAAACAAGATTTATCTCCTTTTAATGAAATAAAGTAAAATTATTAGTATTATATTACCTTTCCTAAACTGCCTCAAAGAAGGATATAGTTTCTTGACAATATCTAACAGAAGTTATATTTCTCTCTTGAATACTGCATATACCTGTAAAAGATTCCCTATGCTGTATCATTATTATAATGTTAAAATTAAGAAAACTTTTACCTATAACAATATGCATTTTAAATTTTTATAGAACTTTAAGTAAAAATATCTTAACAACTATTCAAGCAAATTTAATAAACTTTTTTTTATCTCAATTCTAAAGATCTTTAAAATTAAAATAAAAAAAGTTTATCAAATTTGCTTAAATGTTTGTCAAGATATCTTTATTTAAAGTTATTGCACAAGCATTTGTTATTGTAATTATATTTATATATTTAAATTTTATAAAACTTTGAGTGAATATATCTCAACAACTATACAAGCAAACTTAATGAATTTTTTTTATAGTATTTCAATTTTAGAGATCTCTAAGATTAAAATAAAATAAAGTTTATTGAATTTGCTTGGATGGTTGTCAAGATATCTTCGTTCAAAGCTATTACACAAGTATAATTATATGTATATAGACGTTTTAAATTTTATAGAACTTTGAGCAAAGATATCTCAACAACCAACAAAGCAAATTTAATAATTTTTTTTTTATTTCAATTATAAAGATCTCTAGAATTAAAATAAAAAAATTTATTGCAGTTGCTTGGATGGTTATCAATATACTTTTAATTAAATGTTTAAAAAATCTTAGTTTTTGTAAAATTAGATCCGACCTTTTGTGGATCGGCGGACGATCACATAATCACGTGATTGAACACGACTTTAGACGCGTGCACTTATTTGTGCGAGTGATACAAGCCCAAAAAGGGAAGTTAGCCAATCGGAGAGCGTAAATTTTGATTATCCCGGATCAGCCCGACATGGAATCCGAACACGTGCGAAAAAAGAAAAAAGTCAAAAAAGCGAAAATACTCGTTTTAATCGACCTTAATACACTAATTAAAAATGTCGGGAATAAAATTTTACATATAATACGCAATATTCTATTACTATAGCCCTGAACTCTAACACCCTAACCCTAAATTTCAATTGACACGTACTTAGTTTATTTTTGTATCGAATTTCCTTTTTTGGGTTTGTATCACTCGCAAAAATAAGTAAATCCGCTTTAGACAACCCCCTAATTTAGAAATATTTGAGCTAAAATGCTACATCTTAAATTAACAACTTGTAAAAGTTATTATACATGATACCATCACCATCAATAATACTTTCAACAACACGACTATTTTTAATAATATCAACTTAGCGATACCACAACAGTGTGACAGCTTCGTCTAAACAATTTGAAGGATGTAATTTATAAAAATTTTCAATTATTAAGTACTTATATGTGTGATCTTTCTATATAAGAAACAGGTTTCTTTGCATTTTTGATCTTCATTCATATTAGTAATCATCTCTTATTTCAGAATTTAAACTTACTATACACATAATTCTGTGGAAAGTATAAATATTTCTTCAATTTTATTGATATTAAATTTATTATATAAAAGAAAAAAAATTTATAGATTTGATTAATCTTCTATCCTAATTTTTTTCGCCTCCATTCCTTTTTTCTCACTCTTCTATTCACTATTTTTGTTACTCGATTTCATACATACATATAGTTCATTTTATACAAAAAAATAAATAAACTCATTGCTTCTTTTTCGACCTTCGACTCTTTTTACCTGCTTCAAATGCAGAAGCTTGTTCCAAATTACGACCAATATTATCTAAATCTTTCACTTTATAAATTCTTACAATCCAATTTTCTGATGTAAATGCTTCTTCAAGAGTACTCAATTTGATTTTTTCTGCAGGTAATCGGGCTCCACGAACACGATCCTGACCTTGACCACCAAACAGTTCATTGTAATTATGATAACTCATTTTATACATAATGCTTTTTCTCATTGTCGGTGTAGCTTCATCATCAACTCTATATTCACCACGTGCGGTGAAAAAGTTTCCTTCTTTTACGTCATCAGGATAAACACCTTCAGCGATACGAATCATCCAAAGGAATTTGTTAATATCATCACCAGAATAACCCAATAAACCACCAAAAATAATAAGTACATGAGTTACATCATGTCGTCTCATTATTTCATATGCAACATCTTCAGAAGATGACATTGCTTTGCCAACAGTGGCAATATGTGTATTATTCCAAGTATTATTATCTACTAAAGTAGTTCTATCTGCCATACCAGCAATTTGATAACCATAATCCCACCATGACATAACTTTTGCAGAATCATCAGTGTTTTTTCGTAGCCAATAATAAGCTTCACGGAAATCATCAATAATATATTGTGATCCATCAGCTTGTCGAGAAGCAAGTACAATTGAAGGTGATGAATAAGCATTGGAAGTTACCCATGTACAATGCCAAACAAAAATTACCAAAAAGAAAAAGAAATTTAAAAGAATTAATCCACGAGTGTCATTTCCAATTATACCAAAAAATTGTTTTTTTTTCTTTTTTTCAGCTTTAGTAGATGTTGCCGCTGAACGAGAACTATCACCAACTTTTTTATGCTTATCTTTAGGTTTACTTTCTACAACAGGCGTTGGTTCAGAAGTTTCTGGATCCACAACGTTTATGTCAAGATAAGTATCCAATAAACGAGAGATTGCAATTGCAGAAGAAACACAAACAATTGGTGTCAAAGTCAACATTAAACGAACCATGACCCCAGCAAAATAAGATGCTGTGATGCCATATAAAATGACAAAAACATGTTCGTCACGTAATTCTTTGAAACAAAGGTATATTCCAGCAGGGAAAAGGAAAATCAACATTTCAAGATCAAAAAAAAAGGAAGGCCACGCTGTTGGTTGATGTTCTGAAACAGATGCAATGATGGGAATATATTTCTTTGCATACCCAGTGTCCCATAGTGAATAAAACCGACCAGTCCATGGAGCAATGTATCCACTAACTGTTAATATGACTAATGCTGAAAACATCGTAACGAAGGAAATAAAAATAAAGCCTTTGAAAAGAATTTGAAATTGATTGGACGCAAGATGACTTCTTACGAGTTCGACAAAAGCAATAATTTGTAACAATCCAAATATTCCTTCGAGAAAAATAAAAATAGATAGACAAAAATAAATGAATTAAAATTTATATACATATCTAATTATGAATTTGAAACGATAAACTAATATATCATAAAAAAAAACAATAAAAAAAACTATATATTACCTAAGGCAGCCATATGCTCACTTGTCCTTGTTGGTTGAAATCCAACAAAAGGGATTTGCATTGACATTAAAGTACCAAGAACATAAAAAGAAGAATATGCTACATAGAGCCTGGTAGAAAACCGGCCCATCAAAATCAGAGCAAACACATGAAGAGGGATAAGATTGATAATAAATACGTAACCACCTAAGAATAACGATAAATTGTTAGATTTAAAAAAAGAAAAAACTATTATGTATATATAATATAAACTATTTTGTTAAATAATAATAAATTACCCCAAGCTGCTACCATATAAAAATAAAATAAAGCAGTTAAACCACCAAAGAATGCAGAACCCTCCTTAAGGGATTTGATCCATAAATAAAAGGTAAACATGAGTAAAAATATCGCAATGCCTTCATTATCGTATGAACCAGCAACTGAACGAGAAATATAACCAGGAGCTACTCCAATAAAGGCAGCAGCCAAAAGACCAGCAGAAGAATCTTTCATTTCAGAAGTAAGAAGATATGCTGCAATAGCAGTGAAAGCTGAAAATAAAGGAGCTAACAATACACATATGTTGCGTATATCAACAGGAAAGTTGAGCGCGTGAAGAATGTTATGTATAGTAGCTGAAGTCACCATCAAACCAGGGTAAACCGTTCCACCGACAACACGGCCCAACGGATACCACGATCGTTCGTCAAACCAATTCCAAAATTCATAAAAATTTGTTTGAACCAAACGACGAGTTGTCCGATAATTAAACCATGGATCAAATTCGTGAATAACACTTTCAAAGCGAATAATACTGAATAATCTACTGGAAATTGCCACAGCAGCAATGAGGCCTAGAATTATTACTTTTAATAGAGATGCCTGATGTTGTGGATCTAAGCCGAGCACCTTCATTTTAAAATATCAATAAATGTAATTTTATAATTTCGCGAAAATATCTTAAATATTTATGAGCACCAGTCATTTCGCGACACGACATCATGTGAAGTGACACGTGAATGAGGAATTATTTAATCCAAAATCTACCAGACGTAAGTGCGTACAGCATCTACTTTTTATATTACCATATCAAGGTTAAGTGATAAGCTCCTGTTCGGTCCATTTTGTAAAGGCTTTTGATATAAAATATTGAAATCTTGGCATAGCTGTATAATGAAGATATGAAAATTTTAAATTACTCGACATGACTCGTCATGTATAAATAATACAAGATAACATCACTACGTATATAGTATTTACAAAGAGATTTTTTAACAATTGTACTGTTTTGTTTAGTGCGTCGGGAGTGCGCCTCCTGAATAGTTTATGCATTAAGAATATCGATATCGATACACCAAAGTTTCGATTCTAGCTAATCAGACAACAAAGATCAGAAGTAATGTAAAAATCAATAAATCTGAATGAACATCTACTTAAACTTTAGAGATTTAACCAATTAAATTATTATGTACCACTAGACATGTAATTACAGAATTAACCAATAAAATTGGCCTATTCGGATCACTAGTGTAATTCACTAACTTTATTATTAACCCTAAAATATTATATATAGAGCTAATGGTATACGTATTATACATATTTTACTATATTTATCTGAAATTTTTATGTCTGGATCTGGATCTGTTGATCATATCTCAGTGTACGGATACGTAAAAAAAAAGGTTTCTATATCGAACTTGATTTGTAGATCTATAGAATTTAACCAATTAAACAAATTTATGCCTATCGTCAGCACATCTAAAATATGTGCCAGGTTTGTAGTGCAAATTCTTTAAAGTTGTTAATCGTTCAAAGAAAACTCTATTAAAGCATTAAAGATAGTTTCTTATGCATATTTTGAGAAATAAGCGGCTTGAATTTTCTTAATAGTGTCACGTTACACTCAATCTTAGGATCTGATTCGTAGCCTGTGACACATTTCAGACTGCTCGCCGACAATCAGCAATTTTGAATTAATAATTTAAGTAATTTATAAATAGTTAGAATCTAAATTAGAGTTAAAATAGTTGGGATTAGTTATTACTGTACTATATATGATTTTTATCGCTATTGATTTTATTGGTAACTGCAAAGTCACATGATGGATTAATTTAATTGATAAAAAATTTTCTAAAGTTTTAAGTTGGTTAGTTGTCAGTTTGGCCAACTTTTTAATCAATCAACTTTAGGCCAAGTTTTAATAACTGTATTGATATATTAAAAGTACAAATAAAGTGATAGCTGTAGAAAACCATATTAAAGGGCCTTGTAGCGGTCTTGATCTTAAAGGATCCTGCACTAAATTCATTAAAATGAGTTCTAAAGAATTGACAAAAGTAGTCAAAGAAAAATTTTTTTGGGCATGCTCTCTCCCAGAATCACCCATAACTTTACGATCATGTACACCTGAAATAAAATCAGCTATCGCCTCCGAAAATTCCAGAGGCGTAGGTGAACATAAAACACCCGTTATACCATTTCGAACAGTTTCTCTTGGGCCACCACTATTACATGCAATTACAGGTAAACAAGCATACATTGCCTCTATAGGCACAATTCCAAAATGTTCATTTGATGGTGTATATAAAAGACAAAGTGACTTTGATAATAGATATGTCCTTTGTGCTTCATTAAAAGAGCATAAAAAAATTATTTGCGCTGATTCTGGTGGATATGTTGCCGAACTGGGCATAATTGTAAAAGTTTCGAGTTCCAATCTTGAAGCTACTCGATCCAATTCTTTATGGTGATCCACATTTTCTGGCACACGATTATCATAGCCACCTAGTAAAATTGATAAAAATTGATAAAAATTGAAGTGATTATAATATATATATGTTCTTAAAAGCCTGCATATAAAAATAAATACATGTTTTACCAGCAATTACTAAGCGCATGTTGAGAAATTGTTCCTCTGATACCATAACATCATCTCGTAATCTTGCAAAAGCACGTATGGCAAGTACAATATTTTTTTTTCGTTCAAAGCGATTAATTGATAAAATTGTCACCTTCGAGCTAAATGTGGTATATTAAAATTATAATTATAATAGTTCAATAATTATAATAGTTTAATAGTTTTAATAATATGTAATCTATGGAATTGTGGAATTGCCTTTCTAAAATCTTAATGTGGATATCATCAACGTCCACTTTTTTATCATATGCTTCAAAATGTATTCCAGGGTATAGAACTTGAGGAGCCTTTCTTATGTTAGGAAAAGATTCACGAAACACGTTAGATGTGAAAATGCTATTCACAACAATGCAATTTGCCATGCCTATTATCATTATTATTATTTAAAATTAATATCTATGGATCGATTATTAAAGATTTTTTAAAAATTATACTAGCCAGTAGTCAGTCCTTCCAATAAATCAACAGGATATCTATAAAGTTTTTTCAAAATTGATTCGCGTTTGGTTAATAATTTGTCTGGGAAATGACAATAAAATAATATCTATTTTTCAAGATTTTCGAAAAAAGAAAATTAATATCAACTAAAAAAGGTAAAAAAATCAGTGATATGGTCTATGCATAAGAATATAAATTACTTTGGCACCAGTAAATCTTAAAAATGGAATGCTAGCGGATAATTGATCAACAAATATAACATCGAATTGATCATTATCTCTTAAGATTAAAGAAGCGGTAAGGTGTAATTGTCGTAAAATTGCGCATACAATGTAAAAAGATCCAAAAAGGGTACGCGGGATAATACTATTTCCACGTACTCTAATTTCAAGCGAGCCTAAAAAAAAGAAATATAAAATTTCAAAAGGAAGCTATATGTATGACAAAGGTAAAAGTGTGCTGACACGAACCATCTTTAGTTTCTTCAAAACAATGTCCCCGATCGTGATGAGAAGTATAAATAACTACATTATGACCTTTGGCTTTTAAACCAGTAGCGGCATCAACCACAAGACGTTCCGCTCCACCTTTGAACAAAAAAGTGCATGTATAAGCATAATCATTGATCAATGTTAAATACAGTGTCAAGACTTACCGATACCGAGATCGGGATGTACGAAAGCTACTCTAAGAGTTTTCGATGACATTAAAAATATGAAGTTTTTAAAAACAAGTTACAGAATCGAGGTTTAGAATTGTAAAAATTGTAAAATATTGGAAGTGTATTTTTAGACAATGAAGAAACAATCGGTTATGTATTATCGGGTTATTATGAAAACAACACGTTCAAAAAATAACACGTTAAAATCCGATCACCTGATAAAACTTAATCTGTAAAATATATAAAGTGATTCCCTAATTTTATTTTAGCTAAAAAGCTTACCAAATTAGAATTACATACATACATAAATGTGAAAAATTATCTAAAAATAAGCATCGAACAAATCACAGATCAGGGTGCAAGTCTGAATGCTAAAGCTAAGTTTTAATTATATGCATTGTATCTCACTACATGCGTTCATATACTTCAAATGATTATTTAGTACGTAGACTTGATACACACTTAAGGTAAAGCAAAGTAAATAATCGACATGCAAATATGCATACTTAAATGATAACTTATTATCATTATTTTTGTCATTATCTTTATCAATTATTGAATAAGATTACATTTTGATTATTAAGGTAAAAAAAAAATCCGAATATGATGGAAAATCAATTATCAATTTCTTTTACTAAAAAAATGATCGAAAAATTAGGTTTCTTTGATTTTTTTTTTATTTTGATTCTGAAATAAGTAATAGTAGTAGTAAAAAAAAAAAAAAAAAGTAATCCTTTTTCTTCCTTTGTAAAAAAAAGGACAATAAATAAAAAAAGTTACGTTTATAATAATTATACTATAATAATACGAAGACCATGCCAAAACCAAAATTAATAATATGTAAAAAATTATATATAAAGTATAATGTGAAAGTAATAAGTGTACAGCTAAATAATATAAATTAAAAAACCGTGGTATTTTTGGTGTTCTCTAATATTGTAACTTATACATATAGCACAAAAAAAACCCTTTTTTTTGATTTCTAAACGTGCCGTGAAAGCCAAAAATCCTATTTTTCCATTAGCCCAAAAATTAAATACAACGTAAAATCATATACATCTTATAGAGTCAACCCAAATTTATATACCTTATAAACAAATCATAAAGAGAGACCAATAAATGCCGAAAAAATAAATAAGTGATAAAACACAATCCGTTTCTCAGAGACGGATATTTCAATTCTAAATCAAAAAAAAAATTTTATTGTCCATATCTTATCTTTACAGCTTATCGGTGTTTTCTGTTTTTCCAATTCGGTAATTCGTGTTGTTGTTATTTCCGTTTGCTAATAAAGGTGATTTTGAATCATGTCCTGATTTATCCCCGTTAATTTGTGATGAATTATGTTCTGACGAACCGTCTGGTCTTGTTTGCCGTCCATTCATATGATTTAATCCGTTACTATGAGGCTCGTTATCGGATTGATAACCTTCATGTGCGGATGTACTGCTGGTGGGGTGACTTTCGTTATGATACATATGAAATCCTTCAACATATTCTTGTAAAACAATAAACAGAAAATGTTAGTGAACATTTCTGAATTCAGATGCGTAAGTAATTTAGATTTTTATAAATTGATTGTTACCTGGAGTTGCATTTGGTCCGGCCCCTGGTGTTTGAATTTGACGGGACTCAAAATTTGAAAATGCTGAATGTGGCGCGGAAGCGGCTGTTACTAAATTTTAAACAAATAAATAAAGATTAATAGTGTTGCCAATTTTTATGTTCATTTTTCTTGTTCTTTCATTCTTTTTTTCTTATTTTATTTACCCCCTTCCATATGTATGTCATGCATCTTTTGGTCGTGTGAATTATTAACCACGCTAGTGTCCATGTTTGCATTACTGTACATATCTGGATTAGGGTTTTCTTCATCGGAAATACCTTGTACCATGTATTGCTGATGTGGATGTTGAGGATGAAACTGAGGTGCTTGTCCATTCGGCATCATCAATAAAGCGTCATTTCGCATTGGCCCTCCATTAACAGGGGGGAAACCCGGAAAAGGTGGGTACTGATTGTATGGTCCTGGAAAAGGTGCTCCACTAAAATCCTGTGCCATAACTGATGCTCCACCTGGTCCTTGTGGATGTGGAAATCCCATATGACGATCATTTGGGAAAGCTGGATTCATGCTCATTGGATTGTAACGATCATGGTTATCGGCATAATGACCAGGACTACGACCTCTTACGACCAAAGGTGCTGAAGTTGATGTCGCTACTCGATATTGTTCTCCATTTTCTGATTGTGCGTAAAGATCAACCATTACAACATAATATTGTTGTGCTGCACGGCGTTTTCCATTATTAGCTGTTGCAGTTTTAAATTGAATACGTTCAAAGGTAACAATATTTGAGTTTGATCCAACTGAACTAAGGTTCAAATTTCCACCTGCACGAATAGGTTTTGGAACTGGAACCATTTGTGGTCCTTTGTCACGCTTTGGGGTGTGTTGCACTAATTCAATCTTTTTGTCACTATTGGAAACTCTTGCTGTGATACCCAATAAGAATTGACTAATTGGATGAAATTGTCCATCAACTTCAAGTAAACATGATATATCTGATTCATTCATGGTATGAGTTGTACTTAAGATAGAAAATGCACTGCTTATTTGGAAATAATTCCTTCGATAACATGTCCAATCGTTATCAGCCAAAAAGAATCCACGATCTACCTTAGAATTAATACGAAGCTTATAACTATATATATATATGATTATCAAAGATTACAAGATAAAGATTAGTAATTAATAATATTATTAATAATAATATTATTATTATAAAAATATAACTATACAATTTTATTATGTAATGTACCTTAACGTTCTATCTGCACTATAAATGTTGCGATGTTGTTGAGTTGGTGAGAAGAATGGCCCTACATCTTGTGAGAATCCTAATGTATCAGTCCTACGTTTCCTAACTGTACCAGCCTGAAATGGTGTGGCATGAAATGATGTAGTGGTGAATGTTGGTCGATTATCTATGACTTTACGTTCAGATGTAGGATTAGACGTATTTGTGTTGTTACTTGGAGAGCTGGTCGGTCGAGTGGTTGATGGAGATTGTGTGGTAATTGGCACATATCTAATTAATATAATAAGTTAAGTATTAAATGATTAGCCGATTATTCTGGTGATAGATGATCTGCACTACCAAAAATTATGAATGAACCTTGTGATGTTCATTCATATGAGCATTGAAGAAGAATATTGTGTAAAAATTCAAAGAAACTATGTGTAAGGTAACACGCGGCGGGAAGAAACATCAACTTGCATAACCAACCCTTTTTTTGTACCTTGGTACAAAAAAAAAAAACGCGAGCAGTACTTTTATAAAAGTACACAGCGCAAGGGCTGAACCCTTTTTAAATAAAACGTGTTTTTACTTACATTTGAGAATGCAATTGACCTTGGCCAGCTGGTCCGTCATATGGAAAAGGCTGCATAAAGTTTTCAGCAGGCATACCACTCATTTGTGGTGACATTACAGAATGTGGATGGTGAGGTGAAGGAGGAACCTGAGATTGTTGAATAGACCACTTTTCTTCACTAATATTCATATTATTATAAAAAAACTTGTGTCGAATATTCTTTATGAAAAACGTTAGAGGGTTTTTGTAGTGTTTAGAAGGTGGGCGATGAACAGGTATCTCCAGAGCTGAAAGTTTATATTAGTATCGGTTGTACAAAAATTTTTATTAATTCGAATTCAATTGTCAATCTTAATGCATCTGATATTTCAACATTAAAAGCGAGAATATATATTTAAAGAGCATACATTTCTATTCCTCGAGAAAATAGTTTCGCAATTAATAATTTAAATTTTTTCGTTGCAATTATTTACACTGACGCTATTAAAAAATAGGATAGCTTTGTACCTGGATCCCTTGGTTGAGCGGGGAAAAAAGTGGTGAAATGTTTAATACTTTGAAGGCGCACAAGTTAACCTTTTTTGCTCAAGAGACGTTTGCCCAAAAAACCTCCCGACCATAATCTCACTTTATATATTATTATTGTAAAGGTAACAAGAGTAACCAATGGCAGATAAGCTGGAATTTGTGGGATAAATATGTAAATTAGAAAGTTCTCAAATCAAGTTCTGACTTCCAAATATGTATTGCATCGATGCACAAAAAAATCAAAATTTTATAATTTAATCTGTATAAAAAAAACTGATAGTGTGATTAATGCTTTACGCTTGTCTGCGTGACCAACTGCACTACAAACGAAACCTTCTTTTGATTTAATTAAAATTATAAAGTGTGTGTTGTACAAATGCATGTCCAAAAACTTATATCAATGTGACTATATATTTTATATTAACTTGTGTATCCACATGATAAATCACATCTTAACATGGGTGGTTATCTTGAACGTTGATTGGCTAACCTATTCAATCATTTTATTTGTACATTAAAATATCGTGATTATTTTAAAAATGTGTTTTGTGTACAAAAATCTAGACCGGAAGCGATCGACTTAAAATAATTTAATTTTAGCAAAAAAAAAAACGACTTATACATGTGATTAATATCGAGTTGGTTAAACTATCGCTATTTGTTTTTTATTTTTATAAAAAATATTTGAATTTTTAATTAGTTTTTGTTTATAGACAATTACTGTGTATAATTAATTGTTTTGTAAAAAAAAAATAATAATAAATTAAATGTTTTTTAATTAAAATTTTTTTGTTAAAAATAGAGTTTAATTTATATTATAGGTTTAAAATTAAATACAAAATTAAAGAATATCTAATATAGTACATAATACTATAATATATTGTAACTATATTCTACTATATATAAATTTTTTTAATCAGATATTTAACTCTTTTTAATGATCTTTGATCAACAACAACAGAAAACTAGACTACAAAAAAAACGTTATAGTAAAATATAAGAAAATAATACTCTTGGTTTAATATAAAATAAAATATTTATTAATAAATTAAAAAATATAAAATATATACTAAAGAGTTAATAAATCTTTTTATTTATATAGCATTTAAATTAAAAAATAATATTGTAATAAAATTTTTA